AGCTTTTGAAAAACCTTTTTAAATATGTCTCATAAAATTAAATTAAGTCAGTAAGCTGATAAACACTTAAGTTTTTATTTACTTTGAGAAGTAAGCATTTTTAATTTCTTTATGTTAATGATGTCATCATTATTTGCTTTTTTTTAATATATAAAGTATAACTGGAGAATCTTCATCATCATCAACTTTCTGTTTCCTTGTGTTGACTTTTGTTGTTGGGCTGCTGTGATGGTTTGCATAATTAAATCTCTCTTTTCCTGGTCAGAAGCTATCCTTAGCATAATTTAAAGAGAGAGGCTGGTTCATTTTTTCAGTTTTTCCATCCAGCTTTTCTTTGGATAACTGTTACAATATGACAGATTCAGCTCAGCCTTTCTCTCTTGACTGTATTGAGGAGTTACTGCATTTAGCCAGCCAGAGTGTTGACTTGTAAAAGTATAAACTCATTTATTTTATTTCCCTGATGTCTGATAGCCAGACGTTTACTCTCAAAGGCTTGCTTTTTTTTCCTTCTGCCTCAGTGTTCAGTTTCCAACGTTCGCAATTATATGGTGGTACAGAGACCACTTACAAAGGATATAGTTTTAATTTTGCTTGAAAGCAGATGTTACTCTTCCAGATTTCTTATTTTCTGATAGGCTTTAGCTAGGCTCTAGGCTTGAAACATGATAAAGAGACAAAGGTTTAATCTAGAACAGCTTCAAATAGTAATATTACCTTTTTCAATACCTCCTTCTGTGCAGTAGCATAAACACAAAAATGATTTTATTTTTTTTTACTTAAAGAGGAAATTATTCTATTTGTGACGAGCACATTTGCCGGGGATTATATTCTCAATACTTGACAATTCAATGAAATGAAGAAAGAAACATCTCTCTGTATTTTCTTCAAACTTCTTTAATAACTTCTTCCAACTTTCACATCAAAATTAACTTCTTAATTCAATAACAACTTGACACTTCATAAATAAAACTTAAAGATACATAAAACTTCACTTAGTATAACTTCAACTTTAACTACTAAAACTTTACTTACTGGACCCGCTAATATCATAAAACTTATTACTGAGCGAGGACCAACGCTCTACAAGAAATACTGCTATGCGAGGACCCCGTCTAACTCACTTTCCCTTAATTTATACTTTCTTTGATTGTACGTTCCAGAATCCTGGAACCTTCTCCGATAATTATTTTAGTAACTTTGACCTTCTAGAAGCTGACGTGTGCTATTTTTTTCCCTTAACCTCTTTCTTCGATTGGATATCTAAAATTAACTTGTTTACGCTGGACACTTGCACTGGTTTGAACTCGAGCTTCTAGAAACTGGTCAAAATAGGTCACAGACTCGACTCGTGACACTATTTTCCTTCCATGTGGCTTTTGTTTGTTTTTTGCACAGAAATTTACAAAAACATTTTTTTAATAAGTTGTATTAGACTTTGTTTTTTTTTTATTATCATATGATAGGCCTATTTTATATCTTTTGTTCTCTGCAGAGATAAAGAAAGAGAAATCTTATGTAAGTATAGTGTCATTTTTTAAATTTTTTGATCAATACTGGAAGGTAAGTACTGTACCAAATAGTGTAATACACACACAAAACACACAGAACTATGGCTTGTCAAATGGACAAAATAAATATTCAAATTATTAAAGCTATACATCAGATACTTGAGTATGCATTAAATCAGAGGCGAACTTGGCAGTGGCTGGGTACCTGTGCAAGTAGTGTATCAGGTCTATGCATATTTGTTCAAGGGTTTGATGGTGACAAAAGAATCTTTTTATTGCTGGCCCTGAGGCAGTTGCCCCACTTGCCACCCTGGCCACCTATGCCTAAATATATGCCATTTAACATTATTATTTTTTATTTAGTTATTCAGTCTAAACAAATTTATAAACTTTGTAATTGTGTCCAATTATTGAAATAAAAAATCAAACATATAGGCCTGCAATACAATATATTAAATTATACCATTAAAAACTTTGTTTATAGTAACTAAAGACAAGAAAACAGAAGAAACTTTCTCTAAAAATGGTAAGTAAGACACTCTTTTAGGATTTCATCATTTATTTCATTTATTCAATTTTGTTTTGTTTTCATGACCATAGTAACCTCACAGTTTATGCATGTGTTCTATTTGCAAAAAAAAAATAATTTATTATTAAAATAAAATTAATGTCCTTGAGCCGGATAGACTTACTTATAAACTTATTTGTCCATTTCAGCTCCGATACTCACAAGTCAGGGAGAAGAGAAAAACCATACACCAGTATACAGTCAAGTGAATAATTATAACAAAATCACTGACCAACATACAAACCTAACTGACCATAGTGTCAACTCACAAAAGCCTGTTCAGAAAGGTTTGCCATGTTCTGATAAATTTTGTATCACTATATTAACAGCTCTAAACATATTCTAGTCCTAGTGCTTTATGTAAGCTGGACTGGATTAAGATTTGATAAGGCCATAAGCTATATGAGAAATGGGACCCTTTATAAGGTCACATATCTTATGTCAGAAGCAACCTAATATGATTTTCGTATACCTAGAGTGTTCAACTAATATACAATTAAGGAGTGGGGCCTATATAGATTATATATAGTGAAATAATACATTTTTAACTTCCATCCATCCATCCCAGTGGCGTTACAGCCCATGAAAGACTCTGGCCTGCTTCAACACATTCCTTCATTCAGATCTTTCCTGGGCCTTTCATCTCCATGCCCTAACCCCAAGCTGTTGTAGATCTGCCTCCACATCATCAATCCATGGCATTCAGGGTCTTCCAATGGGTCCCCTGCCTTTCGGTTTTTGACTGTATATGATTTTTGATCCTCTGTTATCTGACATTCTTGATCTATTTTATTTCTGTCACTATTGGTGGGTCTTCAAACAATTGATATATCTACATTTTTTAATTTAAAATTTTTAATTACTGAAAGGTCCATTAGAAAGTGGGAACCCTATGGTATTGCTTGTGTGCTTATTGTAAATCATGCACTAATTGTAAGAAGTGTAGATATATTTTTTACTTTTAATGTCCTTCAGCCAAACTAACTGCTGGAAATATTTCTAATTGAATGTGCCCACATTAATCTTTGTGACACATGTATTAAACGACTTCAATCTAGAGTCTAGTTAATAATGTTGACACAGATATGTAACAAATCTAAAAGTAAGAATGATGCCATTCCAAGAAATATATATAAATTCAAAATCTAACTTTTAGACTTGCAGAGTTTTCTTTATGATTTGCATTCTAATAAATGAAAAGTTATCATGGAATTCCCATATTGGTGAAATTATTTTAAAATCATCAAAACATTAAAAGTTCTGAAAATTATTGTTTTAGCCTACCTTATAAAATATTGACGTGACGTTACAAAAGAAGACTATAATTACATCCTATGTGTATCCCTAGGTCAATCTAGTCATGCATTTTATATAATAGCTTAAACTCTGCCTAGTCATTGGTTTTTCCTGGCAGACTCAGACAACTCATTTTATGCTCTAATAGTTCTAGGGAAAAAGGAGTATTTGTACAAGTTTGTCCTAGCATATGATAAAAAGTGACTCTATCTTTGTATTTTTCTATTTCATTAGGTTTTGTTTTTGTATTTAAAGATTATGGTTCAGTGTTGTATGCATAATTGGCACTTTACTTTTAAGTCTTCTAATAATTTTACTTTTGCAAACTAAATAAGAACATAAACAAGAACTTAAAACTATAGTTATATCCATGGTCAAAGCAATATTAAAATATATATCCTCTGTTTGGGACCTCTCTACTCAGGATAATATAAACAAGAACAGAATCATGAAAAAATTTTATAGTGTTCCTTCTTCCCTAATCCTGTTAGAGCATGGAACATGTTTCCATAAATCAACCAAGAAATCAGATGACTTACCAGAGTTTATGTTTTTATTGCACATAGATACATGTATCTGTCTTCTTTTTTAAAGAAACTTCTGTAATTCATAAGACAAGATATAAAATGATATAAAAGACTTAGTTAAATGTAAATCTTGATCAAAGAAATATAGAACAAACCATTTCTTCTTCTTTGATTTTGTACTTTAATCAGATAAATCACCAACACGTTCAGAAGCAAACATTGTTAAAGATAGCCCACCTGACCCTGATGATGATGGACAGCCCACCCAGCCTGTGGTAGCCACCTATATAGCTACAACCTATTCTGCTCTGGATGACCCACTGTCCAGTACAACTAGTCTGGAGAAATTGCCTGTAGTTGAGGAAGAAGAGAGCCATATCAGTCATGCGTAAACAAACTTTTGTCCATCCTGTCACAAAGAATGTCTGCTGGCCAGTTGCAGCATGCTTGGACTGTTTAGTAAATATTTATGGAATTAAAACAAAATTTTCAAAAATTAATTAACTAATTAAAAAGTAATTAAATCAATGTTAGTTTTTTCATCAATCCATTAAAAAAGATGTGTATCATTAATTAGATGTTTCTAAAAAATATTTTGGGGATGTTTTTAGAGAATTAGCAAATTATTTTGTATACCTTACTATTTAAAATTGTTTAGTAACTAAGATGAATTGATCAATGTATTGATAAAAAGATATTCTAAATAGCAATGCTAGTGTACAGAGAATAGAGAAAATGAGATAACCCGGTGTTGACTTGCATTTTTGAAACACAAGTTTTTTATAGTATTGGAAATAAAAGTTTTAATTTAGACAAGTAATTTGCTTTTTTTCTCAAATGGAATGTAAATGAATAACAAAAATTAAACATTTCATAAAAAATGTGTTCATTGAATACTTTTGCTACCAAGATTGATTTCTGTATTAATTTGTGTGGGCTAAATGTATCTTTAAATACTATTAGGCCTATTTTGGATGTATTTTGGATTGTTTTAAAATGTCTTTTATAATTCAGTTATGCATTTATATGTAGACACAATGGTTTTATCTAACCTCAAGCTTCAGTGAAGAACACATGACAAAATGAACAAGAAAGAAATATTTGCTCAAAAGCAACATTTTATTTAACCCTCAACAGATCTTTTTAAAATCAACATTTTTGGACCATTCAAATCTCTCTGTGCAATACAGTGAGAGATTGAGTAACAAGCATATGCAATAAGGTAAATGTTAGGAATGTCTGTCATAGCACATCACCACAGTGCACACAAGCATGCATCACACACACACATCTCATAAACTTCATAGCAAGAAATAATCTGTAATGTTATACAGCTTACAAATGTGAGCCAAATATTATTTAAAAATAATAATAAAAAAAATATTACATCTATTATGCTTGACGAAATTTGTCATACACATTTACTTTCACAAAACTGAAATGGACCACATCTACTATTTCCATCGCTCAATACAAGTGAAGCAAAACTTGTTTTCTTAACAAAGATCTAGATTAGAGCTTAGGAGAAGATAACTCAAACTTTTGCTGCCTTTGGATTTTACCCAAACATGGAAAAGGCTTCAGATGTTAACCGAGCAAAAATTAAGAGGTGGTGACCCTAAAGTAGCTTACAGTACAACATCTTAGCAGAACCTGTGATACCAGTCATCCTAAACTGTATCACTGTTCCCTTGGACACATCTGCTGTGTGGTGGTGGTGGGGGGGGGGGGGGGGGGGAAGAGACTGCTGGATGGGCAACATCATTCTGACCACAGCTAATGCCTAGGCTTTCATCTCGTTTCTATGAGACAATCCATTGTTGCTTCACAATTAAAAGAGAGCGTTTAGATAATAGATAATTGACAATAGATTGTGAAAACATTAGTGAATGAAAGTATTTCATTTCCTGGAAAGATTAAAAACTGTCTGTGGTAAAACAAAATGAAGCAAAAACAGAGAAAACCCTGACAAACTTGTCAAACAAGAAGACATCCAATAGTTGCAATGTTATCTAACCAATAACAAAGCGACCCTTGAGACCCATGAATTCATCTGTAAAAGGATTAATCACAATACAGTGCATAAGGTGCCTAGTGATTTTAATGTGCACAATGGTGTACCTTAATTAAAAACACAGTTGCAAGAAGCTGTAACTACTAACCATTTGAGGACCAATAACAATTAGTTATCCCCAGTTAATTGAACTAGTTGCTTATTTGGACCTAATCCTAAAATACAGAAATCCTATTACACAGTCCAATCCGATTAGTTAAACAAGCTTGTTATTAGGACCATAAAATTCATGTCAGGATGTGGTCCAATCAATCAGACTAAAACTTTATTACAATAAAATAAATAGGCACGATTCTGTGGCTAGTTAGAATATCTATTCAATGTTATACAGGTTCTACAATTATTATAAACGTATGTTTATGTTTTTGACTAAACTCTGGTATAAATGATCTCTTCAAAAATAATTTGGTTCATCCTTTTATAAAACTTATAACTATACATAAGTCATAAAAAAAAAATTATCAAATCAAATAGTTTCATTTCAATGTAATCAAAACACATTCATTTCGATAAGAGTGGTTTGGCTCTAAACATTTTGATTTATTCAAAAATTATAATCAATCACACATTTAATAATAAATAAATGTTTAAACTTTCATAACAATAAATTAAGCATTTCATCACTCATGTCACAGATTATTTTGGTTTTCTTCGCAAACCTTTTCAGAAACTCCACACCTACATTCAAAAACACAAGTAGGGGCCTAATGCTAGGAGAATGATAAATTGTGCTACTAGATTTTTTAATAGAAGATACAAATGAAGTTATTGAATCAAAGTTTATTGTCATGTGCATCATAAATTTGGAGCTACCCGTAATATTGTAATATTTATGAAAAAAAAATTCAGTTAATATCATGTGATTTATTAGTGAGAAAAATTAAAGTTCCCGCATGCGGTTTATAGGGCAGATGATGTTAAAGTCATCTGTTTCTTTAGTCAAGGGTTAACAAGCAGGGTGTCATGTGGCAAGTACAACGACCAAACGCCTTTACTTTCCCCAACTCATTAGAGTTGGGTGGACTCAGGGGCACCCTAAAAATCTCAAAATTCAAAATCCCCAGTCTTAACCGAGATCAAACCTCAGGTTCTGAATCAACCACTCAACCACTGCGCCCCCATTAATTAGTAACATCAAATTTATACTTATACAATTTAGAATCAACACATTTAGAAATCAGGTAAAAAGAAATAAGTGTTCTTAAAATTTGGCTTCATCACTTTTAGATATTTAAACATTATAATAATGTTGATTAATTTCAGACAAAATAGCTAATAATTACAGAGCTTTTGACCAACAATAGGGTGTAAATAAACATAAGTGTTAATCCTATACAAAGTAAATCAAGATTAATAACATCACAGAGTATTGGTGTTAAATATACAACAATCTGTCAACATCAACAACATTTTAATTATGAAGCAGCTACATTAGCAGTTCCAGGGCCGGTCCTACAGATTGCGGGGCCCTATGCGCAACAATTGCGCGGGGCCCATTCTGGGTTGTAATAAGAACAATAATTGAAAATTAAGACTTTGTATTAGAAAAAAAAAATTCGTCTATTCATACTTTACTAAGTACAAAATCACTGTCAAATTAACTTTACGAGCCATCTACAGTAGATAGTAGTTTTCCAACAAAACGGCAATAATAATTCAGATGTCTTTCAGATTTACTATCGACTAGCAAAATGTCGCTTTTGTTTTTTTCTAAGAGGACAAGATAGATTTAGATCTATACTTGTATGCCACTGACTATTAAAGAAAATTAAGAATTTTAACTTCTTGTTTTGGTTAAAATTAGCCACATAGGTTGCAGTGGCCTAAGACCGCCCTGAACAGTTCAAAGACCTAATTTTACACACTGAAAATTAGTGGTTACTATGATTTGTTTTGTTTTACATGTTTCGGATGTTCCTTCAGAGTTGAAGATAGTTTACTTCCTAGTCCAAACCTCCCGCAGGACGACGGGGGATAATAGCGGGCAGGGTTTGAACCCTCGACCGTTGATAAATCCAAATGACAGTCCAGCGCGCAAACCGCACAGCTATGATGTGTAGTGGTACTCAGAAACACAGGATATCATTAGATTAGTGCCATTTTATGTATTAAACATTCAGCAATGCTAACCTTAAAAGTAACTATTTCCACCACACATTCCAAAATGACTATAAAATGTTGAGCAATTTCTGTTCAATATCTATGAAATGCCTTTCACTCAGTTTACCAGACACTTTACAATACAACATATACATTTAATAATGTTTTACACATATATATTTAACAAGGGATGATGTCTACACCAGTACCCCCTTTTTTAATTTCTATTAAAGAAAATTCTGACCCAACCATAAAAAGAAAAATGATGATAGTAAACCATTGAAATTAATGGTACATTCATACAAACATCTAAAACAAAAAATGGGCTTTGTCCTTATTTTTTTTCCCATGAATGCATTTGGTGATTCAAACATATCCAATACAACATATAATGGTATATTTTTAAAAATAACACCCACAATCTAATAATTCAATATGACTTAAAGTCAACTAAAAAGGTCTAATATCCAACTTAGAAATTCAATGTCATTCATTCATTAAGTCAGTCATACGATACGTGCCAACTATCTATTCAATAGTGTTAATGTTCTGCTGTAACGCTGGCCATTGGCAGATCTGATAGAAAATAAAAAGAAAGCGTATGCAAAATCAGCAATGCAGAACAACAACAAAAAATCTTGATTTGATCAAATTGCATAAAAATTTGCTTTTCGACAAGACTCTGTCAGTGGTTTGTTAGTAAAAGTCTATTTGTGAAATGTTTCACATGTTTTGGATGTTTCTTCTAAGTTAAAGATAATTTACTTCCTAGTCCAAACCGTGGGCAGGGTATGAAACAGGGACCATTGACAAGTCTGAATAACAGTCCAGTGCATGATCAGGCAGCCACACTTGACCAAAGAATTGTTAATTTCATAATTCATAATTTCCATTTTAAATAAAATAGGTAGGTGAATGGAAAAAGTACCAAGATGACAATGGCTATTTTTTTTAGATGTAATAAGGATTTGTATTACATAAATCTCATTCATTAGTAGACTTAAATAAAGCCCAGGAACACAAGCAATGAAACAATAATTTGGATTTTTTTTTTAGTTGAAATTAATTCATTACATGAACATAAATAATCTGAATCCAATAATTCAATATTAAAAAATGAAATTTATTGAACTGGCAATAAAATTCCTATATTAAATAATAACCACACACCAATATTCAAATAGTACCCACCAAAGCATCATTCAGAATAGAGCAGAAACTAGATGTTATGAAAAGAGCTGAATAAGTGTAACCCCCAAGGATAAAGGAATGAGACTATCACACCAGTTTACAGGCCTGGAGAGACATATGGGACATGCATTTTAGAGTGGAGCTATGGAAGCAAGTGGTGTGCAGTGTTGTAGAAGTTGTTCCGGAGAAGTGGAACATGTTCCTTCTTATTGATGTTTTGGTTGATGCACCCATTCCTGAGATGTAATGTATAGACTTAACACCTGGAACCTGTTAAAGTCTTGCTACCACAGAAGCTACACTAAAAACCCATCTGTGGCAGAGGAGGCACTCGGAAACAGTTGACAATGGCTGTGTTTATTATGAGATTTCACTTTCTCATCTTACTTAGATCCTCCCCCCGTGTCCCTTGGCAAATTGGGTGGCAAGCTGTCCCACAAAGATCTGTTAATGTCTGAAGCCTCTTCCCACCTGGTGTGCACTACTCTGAGGTCCTCCATGAAAGTGTGGTGCCAACATATACGAGGATGTACCTGTTTGTGCTTTCCACCTATTGGCCTCCATCTCATCTAAGCCATTGCAAATAAATTCCCTCATTCACTCAATCCTTTCGTTGGGTATATTCAGTTTTTCTTTTCTTTTAGTCTAACTCAATATGTAATACTTAACCAATGTAACTTCCTACCTTGCTCTGATGTTGATCATTTCACCTGGAGCAACTGGCGTGTGACCAGAATGAACAATTATCCAATGGCTTTTGCCTGTTCTGGACATTTCTACCACAAGACCAGGGAACTCAGTAGATGTGTAAAGTATATTGTCTTTTATACTAAAAAAAAAACAGAAGGACAAGTTTTTGCATGTAAATTATGAGTGAGTCTGGTGTGAATGTAAATTTTGTTTTTTCTAGTTATAATGTTTTTTTTTTGTTTAATGCACAAATTGTAAGACAAATTTCCTTATAGACAATAAAGATTATTATTATTGTTATTATTATTATTTTTATGAAGTTTAATTTCATAGAGGTATTTTTGTGTGCTAAGTTTCTCTACTGCAATATACATTAGAGAAAATATCTCTCTAGTTATTTTGGTTCAATTACCCCTAATAAAGTTCAGGACACATGTATAGCAACTTTAACAAACATATGAACTCTGAGCTAATTAGAGTTTTAATTATATGTCATGATAATTAAGTTCTTTAAATTAGGTCATGTCAATGTATTGATAGGAAAGTAAACAAAAGTCTTTAGTAACTGGACAATAGACAGACATCAGCTAGCATTTTCACAAAAAAAAAAGAATAAAGTTTTGAATGCTTTGCTGTTGTATTATCCATCCATCTCAGTAGCACTACAACCCACGGAGGGCCCTGGCCTACTTTAGAACATCTCTCCATTCTGATCTATCCTTTGCTTTCCATCTTCATGCCCAGACTTTAAGCTGTAGTAGATTAGCCTCTACATCATCAAGCCATCAAACTCATGGTCAGCCATTAGGGCACCTGCCTTTTGTTTTTTGCCGGGAACAATCTTTTCTCATCTGTTCTGTGGCATTCTTTAGAGGTGGCCTGCCCAACATAATCTGTTCCTTTTTATTTCTGTCACTATGTAGGGGTCTTCATATAGCTGGTACATTTCTTAGTTGCTGTGAATCCCTCCATCCAGATTCCTCATGTAAGGCACCATAAACTTTCTGAGGATTTTCCTTTACCAAGTGTTTAGCAAATTTTCTATGGTTTTCGGTGTCCAGGTTTTGCTTGCATATGTGGCTATAGGTCTGATGATGGTGTTATATTGCACTCCTTAAAAATGACGAATAC